GAATGCAAAAACAAAATACATGCAGTGTGCGTGACCCAGACTGATCGCTGCTCGACTCGAGTCTCGTTGATAAGATCTTTTTGTTCTTTTGTCCCAAATTCATTTAGCATTTGGCACACCGTTTTTTTTTTAAGCATTCGGAATTTTTTTGCCAACGAAATAATGTTCTGATTTTCCCTAATTCGAGCAACGATGAAGAGAGTAAACCCCCTCTTCTTTGGTTCTAAAGATAGTTTAATCAAAAGTCAGTTAACAAGTGGTTTCTTGTTTTTATTCAGTGCAATTATCTTCGCCCTACGGACTTAGCTTTAATACAGTCTACACTTAAAGATAGGTACAATTGGATAGTTAAGAGAATAAGTTCTGATGTGACACGATTTATGTATATCCCCACGACCAAGATGATACCAATACTCAAACGATTCATAACATATTAATTGTCGACGTGGCATCGCTTTCTTCCTGAACAGATATGCGGTGGGTCTCGGAAACGTGTGGCGCTTCCCGTACCTGGCGCAGAAGAACGGAGGCGGAGCCTTCTTGGTGCCCTACTTCATCATGTTGTGCATCCAGGGAATACCGATCTTCTACCTGGAGCTGGCCATAGGACAGCGGCTGCGAAAGGGGGCGATCGGCGTTTGGAGCCAGGTTTCGCCATACCTGGGCGGAATCGGTATCTCCTCGGCGGTGGTCAGCTACATAGTGGCCCTGTACTACAACACGATAATTGCCTGGTGCCTGATCTATCTGCTGCATAGCTTTGAGTCGCCACTTCCGTGGGCCGACTGCCCAACCAGACTGTATGCGAACTACACGTACGACCATGAGCCGGAGTGCGTGGCCTCCTCGCCTACGCAGTTCTACTGGTATCGCACCACGTTGCAGTGCTCGGAGAGCGTGGACATGCCGGAGAACTTCAATTACCACATGGCGATTGCGCTGATGGTGTCATGGTTCCTGGTTTACATCTGCATGGTGCAAGGGATCACCTCCTCCGGCAAGATCGTCTACATGACAGCCATCTTTCCCTACGTGGTGCTCATCATCTTCTTCTTTCGCGGAATAACACTCAAAGGCGCCTCGGATGGGGTGGCTCACCTGTTTACGCCGCGCTGGGAGACGCTGCTCGATCCCGTCGTCTGGCTGGAGGCCGGCACCCAGATCTTCTTCTCCCTGGGACTGGCATTCGGCGGCCTCATTGCCTTCAGTTCATACAATCCGGCCAACAACAACTGCTATCGGGATGCGCTACTCGTCTCGCTCACAAACTGCGGCACCTCGATGTTCGCTGGCGTGGTCGTCTTTTCGGTGATTGGCTTCAAGGCCACGGCCACCTTCGACCGCTGTACGGAGGAGAGGAACGGCCTGATGGCCCTGAATCGTACCCAGAATCTGCCAGTTTGCGATCTGCAGCGAGAGTTGGCTAATGTGAGTCGATGCCACCAACCATTTCATTTCCTCATTTTAATTTGTTTTGTTTTTTTCTTTGCAGAGTGCCTCTGGCACTGGTCTGGCTTTCATTATATTCACGGAGGCGATCAATCAGTTTCCAGGCGCACAGCTCTGGGCCGTGCTCTTCTTCCTGATGCTCTTCACGCTGGGCATCGACTCGCAGTTTGGTACGCTCGAGGGTGTAGTCACCTCGCTGGTAGACATGAAGCTCTTTCCCAACCTACCCAAGGAGTACATCGTGGGTGTAAGTACTCTTCTTCGCAGAAGGAAATGCCTGTGCCTACACCTTTGTGATATGTACTCATCCGGTCTTTTCTATCAGGGTCTGTGCTTCACTTGCTGTCTGATCTCTATGTGCTTTGCCAACGGAGCTGGCAGTTACATATTCCAGCTGATGGACAGCTTCGCCGGCAATTTCCCTCTGCTGGTCATCGCCCTATTCGAGTGCCTGTCGATCAGCTATATCTATGGAGTGCGCCGCTTTTCGGATGACATCGAGATGATGACCGGTTCGAGGCCGAGCTTCTATTGGATGTTCTGCTGGAAGTATTTGTCACCCTGCGCCATGGTCACTATTTTGCTGGCCTCTTTCTATCAGCTCCTTACCGAGGGCAGCAGCTACCCGGCCTGGATTGCGGCCAAAGGCTCCACGGATTCCATGGAGTGGCCGCATTGGTGCATAGTTGTAGCATTTTTCCTCATACTCTCGTCGATCTTATGGATACCCATTGTGGCGGTGCTGCGGTGAGTGTTTGTCTTTCATAGGAGTTTGGTTAACTAATCATAAGTTTGTATTACCGCCCTTACACCTTTACGATACTGTGCAACAGACTCTGTGGCATTAAGGTAGTGGAGGACTCCGATCCCGCATGGTTCCCCGAAGCCGAGCTCAGGGAAGTCCATGGCATCGTACCCCACGAACCGACAGAGCTGGAGCGCAGCATATTCTGCTTCAACATGGACGGCACGGAGGGCATGTGCTGCCCCAAGTACGGACTGCCCGAGAAGTCCCTCGAGGAGGAGGAGTAAGCAAGAAGCAAAAAAAAGAAAATGAGGAACAATTCGACAATTAACCATGAAATGTAATGTAAATATGGACAATAACTAAGCCGACACACCGATGCTCAAATGCGACGATATCTACACTCCTATATGGTCCCAAAGACTGTTCAACCGTTCAAAAAAACCACAGAAGCCCAATACAAAATGTGTATTTATAAACATGTACTCGGAACAACCAGTGGCAAGACGGTGAAAATGCGGCGCGGATGCGCGGTTTCATTGAAGTAGAAACAGTGAAAAAAAAAAAACAAAAAGGAAATCTATAGAAATAACTTATTTGCGCATAACTTCATTAGCATGGAAACGTGTAGAAGGCAAAAAATCATAATTAAATGATTATTATTTGCGTTTTCCTTTTCTTTCGATTGGTTTCTACTCGATCTGGAATAAGACGGGCCGAGAGACTATACGAGTATGCATATTTTTATGTATTCCGCTTCTAGGCACGAGTATGGCAACCCTTATAGGACATATGTGTACATACATATATCCGATTTGGTACATGCCATATTTGATTGCGACGAAAGAAAAGAAAAGAAAAGAAATGAAACTGTGTGCAAAGTGAAATTGATTGTTTGCTGATATCCAACCCGTACTACAATAACTTGCTGACTATATCAGATACATATATACATAAATAACTGAAGACAATACGATGCGTATAACTATGAAAATAGCAGGCTATAGTTTATAGAATAGGTTTATTTGTGCGGGAAATATTTGATTTGACTCGATTAATGCTAAGCCAGACAGACTATGAGTTAACCATATCATGCGAGCATAGAGCACCACCTATAAGAGATATATATATGTATACAAACACTAAATACACACTATACTCGTATATACCTACCTACCACAGTTCATTCTCTGTTGTGATCGGCTCTGCTTTCTGTGTTTGTTGTTATTAATGTTAATGTTATAAGACAATTTCATATCAGATCCAAAGCTATGATTAAACTACACTTTAAAGTCTCAATGTTATAAAAAAGAAGAAGAAGAAAGATGGATATTGGATATATGTATGTACGTACCTATTTGTTCTGTTTTGCTAACAAAAATCGAATGATATACCAAAATAATTACTTGTTGATAACCGATCATCGGAATCATGTCACTCCGCCTCATTGATCTACACCCGCGAATTACATATAGTATGTACATAGGCGAAGCCAACAGGGGAGAGGAGAGGAGCTAGAAGAACTACTATCTACCAATATGTACATCTAAACAGACATATGGAAATATGTATATTTATACCATATACGCATATAACAAATCGCAATCGCAACCGTTCAACTAGCCGAGTAACGTAGGTGGAAAGGAAACTTTATATATACACATAACTCGAGAAGGAAGTCTATATCATTGGAAGCATTGGAATTATTCATATACCTACACCGAATATACATACATCTATAGATATTAATTAATGTGAGTTAAAATGCAGTTGGCTATTGATTTCACTGTATTATAAATTATACACTAAATATACATCGATATGTATACATATATATCAAAGAAATATATATACGTATATAAATATATATATATATATATATATATATATATATATATATATACAATATATATGCATATATGTACGTACGTTTGTACATCTACTAAGTGTTATTGATGTTGACAATAATGAAACCAATACGAAACGATACGAAACGAGTTTTAAACACAAACAATATACAACTAAATCGAAACAAATTAGATACAGACATATGTACGAGTATATACAACGTTCTACTTCTCCGAAAGAACACAGCAACCCGAAGAAACACGAGTACAGAAAAATCCAACCCACAGCTCGCGATAATGTTAAAATATACAATGAATATGTACTAATACCAAACAAAAATTCATAAACATACATATGTATAGTAATTATTGTGAAGCAATATAAAAATCTGATTGTGTGTGGAGCTCGATGATCTTTCGATTCGTTTATTATTTTACTCGTCTAAAATATAAAGTTTATATCTCATATGATCTCACCGCAATGTCTTGTGTGTCTGATATTTAATTATTCATTTGTACTGATCGCATAAAATACTGGTACTTAAACATGTTTATTTATGTTTATTTATTTATCAACTAATTATTAAAAACATAAATATCACATAAATGACAATAAATATTATAAAAGCGAAACCAACAAAAAAAGGTCTAATAAAGGTACAATTATATTTCAATTCAGACAAAACTAAAAATTTGTATATACTACGAGTATACATATTGCTTTAATATTTGACTGATTCACATATATTAATTTGTTGAATCGGAATGTATCGGAATGCTTTTAAGATGGTTAAAAAAACACCGCAAGTCTCGTAATCTGTGGCTAACCTAACGAGTAACTACTCGTTGCTGTAAAGAAAATCCACAGCTTCTCAATCTGTAATATATGACCAGAGCTCTGGATCAGATGCGCAATGCATAGGCATAGAAAGACCCATCCCTATCATACTAAAGGATGATTTAGTACACGAATATTAGTTTTTAATTTGTAGAATTTCTTTTCAGGTCTAGAGCTCGTCACGCCTGGTCAAGGCCTCGCCGTACCCGGTGACCTGGGAGCCTGCAAAGATATCGTATTTGTCCAGAATTTCGGTCTTGGTCAGCTGTTCATCCTGATTCACATCAGCCTCGAAGAACAGGTGCTTGGCCTCTTTCTCGGTACTGTCGAAGCCTTCTGGGGCGATCCAATGACGCACCTCCGCCTCACTAAGATAACCATCTCCGTTATGATCGAGAAACTTGGCGAAGACCTTGCGCTCACGGGATACCCAGTCGGGCTCCTTTTCATCTGGTTCTGAGGGCTGGTAGAGGTCGACGATGTACTCGTCCAAAGAGATCTTGCCATTATTGTCTAGGTCCAAGTCATCGTACATCTCTTTCAGGACAACATCACGCATTCTGGGATGGTCCTCGGAGTGGAGGAAGGCAGAGAACTCCTCAAGAGTTAGGCTATCGTCCAGATCATTATCGGCCACTGCCCAGCGGCGGCGATCACGGTTTATCAAGCTCTTGTAGCTGATGACTGGCAGGAGTGGATCCAACCCTTAAATTATGACTAAACTGAGCGACACCCCCCCACTTACCATTGCTACCGAAATCCGTCGCATATCGGTAAATGGTATCTTCGTACCGCTTCCAGGTGATGCCTGTATGGTTATTGGGATTCAGCCGTCTCCAGAGACGATCCACTTCGTTCTCTATGTACTGTCTCGATGTGTAAGTGATCCAGTTCTTCAGCTCTACCAGCGTCAAATATCCATTATTGTCCTCGTCAATGCGATCGACAATCCGACCCAAGCGCTTCTTGCTCTCCTCCGGCGAGTAATTATCAAACTTCCTGGCCTCCTCTGGGCCCAGAAGAGCGTCGAGGCCGTACTGTGAATTGTGCTCGCCGATCTAAAAATTCTCGGCATTAGATGAGTTGTGGTCCCGGGAACTGTGGGGTACTGTGGTAACAATAGGTATATTGGATACACATACCGTGATTTTTGCAGCAATTATCAGCAGCAGCAACGTCCTTAGCGAGGTCCACATTTTTGGTGTACTCCGAGATTTGAACAAGCGCAAATTTTATTGAGTCTAATTTGTTCGTGTGTACGATTGTGGGGTAGAATGAGTCGACAACCTACGAGCTACGAGTTTTTCAAAGCTGTCTACTTTGCCGGAAAACTATTGAGTGATTTGGCAAACCATGTTTAAAGTAACCAGTTCAAGCGTTTAATTAAAAATTATCCGTTCTGTGAAACTGTTCCCACATTTTACGTATGAATACGTGTAAATTTTCATTGTAAAGAGACGATCTTTGTAAATATCTGCGCTGGGGAACAGTCCGACCCATGCTATACAGCTGAGAGACTTTGTCCATTCCGACTGACCTATGAGCCCTTGGACTAAAGAGAGGAGTCTTCACTAGAGTGCAGTGCAAATCATTCCGGGCCACTGTCGCATTCGTTAAGGGGACACCTAGTTGGAGGATGCGGAAAAATCAGCATCTACCCAATGAAAACGTTTTTTAAATGAATTATGTTAATTCAGCAAATCGTTACCAGACTTCATCGCCTCTTATCAAGGCACTGTTTGCGTCTGGTTCCTCCAAATTTCCAAACTCCAATGAAATGAATCAAATAACTTTGGGCTCATTTAAATACGATTTCTTGAAATCGTGGAAATCACTTATTTGAAGAATTGTAATGATACTTTGAAGATCTCAGCTATATAAGCAATACGTATGATATCTTACCAGTGCTCGAAAACTCTAGGCAAATGAGTAGGGTTCTTCTTTATACTATATAATATAAATGTGTTAGTTCATTAGCTAAGAAAAATAACATTTTTAGTCTTGTCGTTTCGTTGTCGTTAAATTAAAATTTATTGGTAATTGTTTTGTGTTATAAGGTTTTAATTGCTTCAATCTGTTTCTTGAGAACGTTTGAGTACTTCCTGAAGGCTCAGTGAGGCTTGACCATCTTTTTTCCAACTAATTTTTGTTGTGAGTGTGAGTGCATGCATGGGCATGTCTAACAGTAATCTGCATTTGTGCAAGCCTCCGCCAGACCTCTCCACAGCCCTTGCGGCCGCAGCAGAGCGCAACCGTCGGAAACAAACCGGCCAAGTGCCGACCATTGGTCAAGTGGCCCGAGAGTGGTGTCTGAATCGAAGTGCAGCAGCAGCAGCAGCAGCAGCAGGCGGCAGTGATAAAGCCTAGCCGTCGTCATCGTTGGTCGTCTCGCTGCATAAAATTAGCGGTAAATTACAAGCTGCAATACCTGTAGCCTGTAGCCTGTAGCATGATGTTGCTATTACTCTCTGCATACTCCCAGCTTTACATTCCGTTGATTGCACACACAAATCTGAAGAGGTTTTTCTTTGTTTTTCGTTTTAACACTCTGGCATAGGAAGGGTATTAAGATCTTGGCCAGATCTTTGTAGCACTCGATGGAAACGCCAGAGTCCAGTTTTTGGGTACACGTTTTTCTACGGCTTCTTTATGGGCTTTCAAATTATTTTCGAGCCTCTGATGTCTTGCTGGACTTGATTATTTTGCGTGGCCTACCTGCAGCTCTTCCTCGGCTGTACCATTTTTGGCGGCATCGATATGGATCTTTTCCCAGGGTCGCACCTATGTGTCATCTGTTGTCTTCTTGTCAAAGAGAGGTGGTTTACGCCCTGGCCGCAAGCCCGAATTCAAATCCGCATCGATGATGTCTCAAAGGTACGACAAATAGATGTCTGGTGTACTTGTCGTTCTGGCCACTGTGACAAGGACGTTCGACCACATGCGAGTATTTGGAGTATGAGGGGGCGTTTCGTACTTCCTGATCCAAGGCTGATGGATGTACATACTCGTACGAGAGCCCTGCATAAAGAGGCAACCAAATGGATTCGGTGGGATTCGGTATCCGCTTCGTTCGGTCCGTTGGAATCGTCACCTTTAATCCATCAGATCCTAAAATTTCGGTTTTTTTTCTCCCTCACTCTCCATTTGATTTTATGGTAGAGAGCCGGAGGCAGAATTCAAAAGAATTTTGAAAAGTACAAATCGGCTTGCACATCTCCCCTAGAATTGTTAGCACAAAGACTGGTCTTATTGTTCTTATTTTCCAGTAATTTACAGTAAAGGAAGGGCATCAAAAGCTTGGCTTCCTTTCATTTTTTCGACTTTTGCATAAACATATGTACATAGGTATAATTAAAACCAGAAATCCATCAACAATTGCTCATTGAGCGAAGCCGCATTAAGGAAAGTTTTTTTTTCTTCTTTGGCTTGTGTTTTGGATAAGCGGAAATTTCAGCTTCGTACATACATACATACTATACATACATACATACATATGTATGTGTGTACATACTATACATATCTGGCTTATTGGGTGGCGACACCAGTTCGACGAAAATCTTTGGCATAGTTTTTTCCGCTGCCCCAAGTGAGAGGCAGAGGAAGCGAGACGCAGCAAGAAGTGGAGCCATGACAAACATGCTAAATGCAGCCCCGTCGACAACTACATAGGCAACCTTAGGCGGACAGCGGACATCAGATTGCGGACAGCGGACAGCGGCTGCAACATGGGACAGCATTCAAAAGCAAACAAACAAATCAGAAGAAAGCACAAAGCCTGCCTTTGGAGACCGAAGCTTTTGATACTCTTTCGAAATTCGAATTGCATATACATTAGTTATCCGATTTTTAGCAGGCTTAGTTCAAGAGTTTTCCGATATATGTAGGCGGCAGATACCCCCGGAGTACCTGTATCTACAGTATGATAAATGTGTGCTGCGGCTGATCATATTTCTATATCTAAATTTCCAAAATCTGCCCACATTCGTAATAGCTTCTTCTAGGGTAAGCAAAGCACAAGTACAGATTGAGATATGGTAAGGTGTGTATACGTATGTATGTATGTATGTATGTTTGACGAAGGCGAAATAAATGAAATACCTGAGACGAATGCCGCAAACAACAAGAAAAGCACCAGCAGCAGCAGCAGCAGCAGCAGCAACACATCCATCGACGTTTATGTGGCCGACAGTGGCATGCACAGTGGGACACGCATGTGGAAGAAGGCTGGGAGTGGAGTCGCGTCGAGTCGGATTGCAGGTGCGGATTGCAAAGTGGTTAGACAACCGCAGATAAATGCTAAATGACTGCAGATGACCTGAATTCTGTTCATAGACAATTTTCGAGAGACTGGTTCTACCACTAGTTCCAATAAGATGATTGCATCTATATCCGTGGAGGAATCATTTTTTAAATTTAAGTTACCATCTTTTTGAAGCTATTAATCTATCATCAGACAGACATTAGTTTTGTTGTTAGGAGAAACATATTTTCCCAAAAAAAATCTCTTTGAAACTTTGGAGGAATCTACTGATACTGGCTGCTGAAATTATTCAAACGGTTATCAAGAAAACATCCCACATATTCTAAATGAATCACTGGTTCAGATTACTCGCTCTTATGAGTGAAACTAGTTCGGCAAAGACACGATCTCAGCACCATTCCCGTCACCGGTGCACCGGCCGCGTTGTAACTGAGCAAAGCCGAAACCAGTTTGGGCCATGCCAAATTCCACATTCCTGGCCACCTGCACCGTTCTGCCCCACTGTGCTGCCGCACTGCCGCAAACAATTAACTTTTGGCAACAAACGAGTACTACGTCAGTGAAGGCAGCCGCAGCCGCAGCCACAGCAGCAGCCGCAGCAGCAGCAAGTGAAGACGGCGAAAGAGATGGCAACGCCGACGCCGATGCCGACGCCGATGGCGACTGCGACGCTGCGCTTGCGCACGTAAACAAATTCTCAGCACCGCATATTTTTCGTTTAAGTAATTTTAATGCCCTTCCAAAGAGTATAGTACATATATATAAGTACATACAAGTGCATAATATGCAATGGGAGTTGTCTCTTGAGACAAATATCTTCAACATTAAAGACTTGAATCATTTAAGGCTCTTGACCCACGAACCAATTGCATAGCTTTTTTCGTTTACACTGTGATAGAGTAAAGCTTATAAAAATTAACCGATTGTAAAGAAAATTGATTTCTTTATTGGATACTACTATTACTTCTTTAAAAAACCGCGGTGGTAAAGTTATTACTGTGCCAATACTTATGTCTAGCACTGTAGCGCTTATTGAAATTTTCGCATCCTAGAGAATTCTAGAGAAATTCTCCCTCCTGCAAGGGCATCCGAATTTCGTGGCCCAAGAGTTTATTTTCATGCATTTTCAAAGCTGCTGTTGCGGGGCTGCCTCGACGTTGCTGCTGCGCTGCTGCTGCTGCTGCGGCTGCGGCTTTTTTTGTTTTCTTGAAAGCAAAAATTAAAAAGCAGCAACAGCAACAAGCAGCGGCACGTAGGAGAAGGAGAAGGCGGTGGAGGGCGAGGGGGAGGGGGAGAAGAAGAAGGGAGAAGCAAAAGCAGAAAAGAAACAACAATCGCTGGCAAAACACGCCAACCCAGCGCGACTTTGTTGCTGCGGTTTTCAGTTTTCAGTTGCCAGCGCGATTTTGAATGAGTTGTACGCGGCGCGAGTTTCGAGTTTCGAGTTTCGATTTTCGATTTTCGAGTGTGGTGTCCATCGAGAGAGTCTCCCGCAATCACGAAAGATCCCCAAATCCAATCCGAGATTCGAGCTCGTGCGTGTGTGCGTTGTAAAAAGCCCCAGGCCCAGCCCCAGCCCCAGGCCCAGCCCCATCCCCCATCCACGCCCACGACATCCGTCCACTCCTTTTGGGAGAACTTGCACAGTTTTTGGTTTAATTATTTTTGTTTTTTAAAGTGTGTGTGTACCCGCCACAAATGATAATTGTGTGCAACAAGCGGCGAATGCAGGCCAGCAGCAACAGCAGCAGCAGCAACAGAAGCGACCAAATCAACGTCCAAATCTATAGGTAAGATTCCAATATTTCCAAACTGGCATTCGAACCACAGCCACAGCAACAACAACAACAGTAACCATAAAAACGAAAACAAAAAACATAGCTGGGCCAACGCCAGGTTCAAGTGTAACCAGTTTCCAGATTCCACAAAAATAGCGCCGCAGGCACTGGGCGCCCAATATTTCAAGTTCCTCAGTCTGCTCCGGCCGCTGCTGCTCCGGCTGCTGCTGGGGCTATTAAAATGTAAATCTTGTTCTTAACAGCACTGGCTCGGATGCCCTGTAACCCCAGAAGTTGCTATACTAATTGACCTGCCCTGCCACCCAGCTGGCCAGCTTGACCCACTGTCAGTGTGTGGGGAAAGCAAGCAGCCTTCCAAGTTCTCATTCAATTTACATCCTAGGATCCTAGGACATCCTGGCAAAGCATCAACAGCACCTCCAAGTGTCTCACACATGCAACAGAATCTATATGAATTTAAGCATCTGACGTCTCGACTGCATATGCCATTCCATTCGCTCCCTGTTGTTAGTTTGTTATAATTTACGAATACACAACATTTATGTATATTTAATAAATGTTGGTATTTCTTATCACCCCTCAAATTGCACTGTACACAAATTGAGATTTACCAATAGCCGATCAAATATCGCCTCCCTTACTTCAAGAACTTGCCAAAACGGAAGGCATCAGTAAATGCATTTTGGGGCCTTAGGGACCGTCTGGGTTTGGCATTTTGTAAATTTGTCTCCGGATATTTTGTGGATTCTTCTAAGTTTAACACACGTTCCCGCCTGCATTACTCTGACGATGAACATCGGACAACAGGCTGGCTTGATTTTAGGGTATATCTGGCCACGGATAAAGTGTTTTGGGACTCGTTTCCAGCATTCTTCTGCCGGTTCTGACTGCTTTTTGTTGTGCGGTTGTTTCTGTGGTGTATATCATTATTATGCTTATTGTTTTGTTTTTGGTTTTTTTCTGGTTTCCCCCAACCCCCATTTGTTGTTGCTGCTGGTGCTGGGGCAAAGCTTTTAACATTTATTATGTATTCCCCAGCACATCTTCGGCTTAAATGTCAGGCTCGTGTTGGCTGAGGCTGTGTGTTGGAGGCTGAGACTATCTCCATCTCCATCTCCATCTCCGTCTCTATCTATCATTCCACTCCCCCACTCTCACACAATTCTCGTTTGCTTACTTTTTACTTGCAGCATTTGCAATCTACATGCGTCCGTCTAACTGTAAAGCACTGTGCAACGGTCCAGCAGCAAGAGCAAGTGGCACCACATCCGAAACATCTGCAGCAACCTGCCCCGTAACCTGAAGACCGCATAGAGAACACTCCATACATACATATATACCAACATATTGTACGAGAGATCGGATATTGGACATTGGATATTGGATATTGCTTCCAAACATACATACATACATACCTCGAACTCAACTCAATTTAATGTTATAGAACGATGGCATCGGCCATAATCACAACGACAACGGTGACGGCAACAGGTAGTACTATGCTCGAGCTAGATCATCAGCGCCAAAGGCCGTTGCGCGGTATTTCAATAGTCATTGAATCTGCTCAGCCAGCAGCAACACCAACAACACCAACAGCACCAGTAGAAAAAACAACAACAACAGCTGCAACCACAATGAACATCGACAGCAACAACAGCAGCAGCAGCAGCAGCAGCAGCAGCAGCAAAATAGCTGAAATGTCGCTCAAGTCTCAGGCTGGCATGTTGTTGGCATTTGGCGACAGCAATAGGAGCAACAACACAAACAACACCAACAACACCAATGCTGACCATGCAACCAAAGATAATTTGAAAACTAGTTGCAACACAGAAGCAACAGCAACAGCAACATCAACAGAAACAGTAAGCAAAGTGTATCCACAGTTGCTTGTGCGCATTGGCCAATCGGAGGACAACGGAGAAATTTCCCCAGCCACAGCCCCAGCCTCAACCACAACAACCACCATTATCAGCTGTAATGGCAGCGTGCTACCAGCTGAGATCATAGATCCAGCTGCAGCTACATCTCCATCGCCATCTCCAGTGGCAGCGGTTGGTGAAATTAAAGAGAGCGCTCTTCCCAACGACGTGGTAGTCGTTGCTAGTCAGCCACCAGCAGCAGCACCAGCACCAGCAGCAACAGCAACAGCACTCACATCTCTCGATGCTGCCTCGAGTGCAGTGACCGAAACAGTTGGCCACAGCTCGCCCCAGCACACGGTCAAGATACAGATAGCCAACAACGGCCAGAGCCAACGTAGGCTTGGCAAGCAGATCAGTGTGGTCAAGCTGAACGACAGCGAGATGGTTCTTCAGCAGCATCAGCAGGAGGTAGAGGAGGTGCAGAAGCAACAACAGACACAAAAATCTACGCAATCGTCGCCCAGCTATCAGCTGTGCTATTTGGTGTCCAGCGGACAGTACTCGCCCTGCGAGACCCTCGACAGTGGAACGGGCAGCGATCTGGAGAGCGTCAAGTCGCCGGGCAGTGAGAGCCACAGTCTTGTACCAAAGCTGGAGCTGCATCTCAAGACAACGCGCGTGCGAGTGAATGAATCGCCCCAGAGCGGGTCCATCCATCAGCGGGCGTACAGCCTGACGGATAGCGAGGAGTGCGACGAGAGCAGCAGTTCCTCCCTCAGCTGCGACTCGCTGCACTCTGGGGAGGCCTTGTCGTCCGGCCTTGTGCTGCCCACCTCCCTGCTGAGAGACATACGCGGTCGCGAACGGGAACGGGAACGCGAACTGGAGCCGTCCACGGGCTCACTGGCGATACCGACAGCCACCAAAATCGACGGCCGTCCGCTGCAGTATGAGTCCGATCAATTCTACACGTTCCATGTCAACGAGTTGGACAACTTCCGCAGCTTCGGGCGCGAAACATCGGCAGACACCACATCCACCTTCTCCTCCTCCTCCTCATCGCAGGAGTACGAGTCGAATGGTTACCCGGAAGACGGGGAGGATGCCTTCGCCGGCTATAGGGATGTGCGGAGGGGTGGTGGTCCGTCGCAGTCATCGTCATCGTCCACCATACGCTCCGCGAAGGGAACGGTGCGCGGCGTCAAGAATCGTGTGCGCAATGGAGTAGCCACATTCTTGCAACTGCAGCAGCCCAGTGTCAAGGTGAGTGCAACCAATCAGTGAAAGAACTCGCAACCTTGAGAAGATCATTCATATTACTCGTAGAGGACACATATAGAGGATACCATTCCGGCTTTAAGTTCGGGCATTCCTCAGAATGGTCTATGATTAAGTGTGTGATGCTAGGACCCGATCAAATTTGAATGGGACTAATATAACTACGAGTAAATTCCAATTTTCTGGTGATTCATTCAGACACTCACCGAATGGCATGTGGGTGTTATTCATTGAGAAAGTTTTCGGATTTTGCTATGGATTTCTTTTAGTTTCGTTTGTGTTTTTTGTTAACATTTGGCTTTGGCTGTGGCTTTGGGTCTTCCATGGGGAATGGCATGAGTTGGCGTGCCTTGGGATCGCTGACTTGAACACCCACACACACATACACACATGTGTTGTGGATGCACTCGTGGATGCACTCACATTGCCATTCAGCCAGCATTATGCAATGTGAGTGCCAGTATGAGAGGGTTTGTTTGTTTGTTTGTTGTTTGTCTATTTTCTTGAGACTCAAAAATACTTTTGTTCACGTGAAAGTAAGTCCAGACTTTCTGTGACTCACATATTGAATTCACGCGACTCTTTCTACCCGTCCTCCTCCTCCTTCTCCTCCACAACCAATAAGTCGCTTTTATCATATTTTGTTTTCATTAATAATTTTCGAGAAATTTCTTTCTTGATTGCTGGCCAAAAGACAATTAACACCTGACTCTCTGGCTGTCTGTCTGTCTATTTACAGAAGACGTTGGTGTACATTTCTCTGTTGTTGGTGTAATATATTGCTGTTGTTGGTGTTGGTGTCTTAATTCACCGTTAAGTGGCTTAATATGTCACATATGTACGCCCCGAATTAAGCAAACGAAAGCCCGCCGGTAAGCCCGCTTAGGGCTCTCATCTCTATATGGGCATCAGCTACGAATGGAAACAACAACAACAACAACAACAACAACAATTGAATGTAGAAAGTTGGCGGAAGTACAGAAGCGGAGACAGTCAGCCCGCCAGATAGTTAGATGGATGGATAGATAAGTAGATGAATGGGCAGATAAGTTTAGATAAATGTGAGCTTAAATGGTCCGCTACTGCGGACTGGCTCTGCCACCAAACGACTAATTGTAGCTGTCTCTGCTGCTGTTGAGGTTCACTTTTGATTTCTATTTCGTTTCGGCTTTCTTCTCGCTTGTGGAAAGTTCTTAATGGGTTGCACGAGCCCCTCAACCCTGGAGTGGCAGTTCCAGTTGCTCTTGAACTGACCCATTTCGGGGCGACCGTAACAAAAGCATCTCGAATGGCAGTGTTATTGGGCCGGCATTGGCCACGCTTGGTTTTGGCTCCAATGGCTCACAAGTCTCAAATCCATAGTAACCGAATAAAGAGATAAATACACATTTTGTGTCCAGTCATCGCTTCAATGTATCCATCGTATTAAATAGATACATATATGTACATATATATGATCTGTGAGCTATTATTATTATTATTATTATTATTTTTGAGTGTTTGGTTTCATGATTTGCCTGTCTTCGAATATTGCCTCCAAATACTTTGTGTGTGTTTTTCGTTTTCTTTTGCGAAATCAATTTACAAGACATGGGGGTATCAAATTAACCCTTGATTCGACTAGGGCCCTACCAGCACCTGATAACTGTGTATGACTCTGATTTGAATCAGATATTAAATGGTTTGAGGGGCTCGAGAGGCTATCTTTGACCTACATTTACAGCCTATGATTATATATTTTTCATGGGTTTTGATTGGACTGGATGGATTGTTGATTTTTTTTTCCTCAATTCAATCAGTTCCTTAATCAGCATCAGCAGAAAACGGATATTGGCCACTGGGGCACATTTGTCGAATGATTCCAGAGTTACGTTTTAATCACTGTAAAAATGAGAGATTCGGGATTCTTAGCATGAAGAGACGGTAAACACAGAAATAAAGAACTTATCCACTAGATGTACTAGTTTCGTTTGGATCATTATTATAAAATATAATGAAGAAAATAGCCCTCAGGCCTCTCTCCTGAGCGGAACTGGAAAGCCACTCCTGACCGTTGGATGTTCTCTCCCAGAGGAACGGGACTCTGGTGGAAGATTGCCAACCTAGTACTAGATCATTTTGATATCATGGAATCACTTGGGAACAGAACTGTTGTTCTTCGATAGCCTTTCCTCTATAGCCTGTGCCACTATAAGGGTTTTAAATTTCTGCAAAAATCAATTTTCTCATGCCATTGCGAAGAGGATTTCGCGTGTAAGTGGGGTTGTCATCACGTCATTACATTTAGATAAACTTTCCTTTTTTTATTTTTGCCTTCGTCTCTTCTGGCAAAGCCTGTTAGGAGTGAGCACATGAACACATACAGGTACATACATATATATGTATGCATGTATTTAAAGTCAAATTAGCTAAATGATATTTTAATGATCCACACTCCACTCCACTCGAGTTGAGTCGATGCGAAAAGCTAACTTTCGGCTAAAGACTCGTCTCTGAAACAAAACATAGCGAAGGAATCGACTTTTGGCAGTGGCCCATAAAATATGATTCGATCTGTGTGTTCAATATATCCGCCATTTGCTGTTGTTGGTGTTGCATAATTAACGCATTAGTCGCTCTTTATTATTATAATTTGTGTTTCTTGAAATGTTATGCAAGTTTTTGCCAGTCCGACTTAATCTGCAAAATAATTTCCTTTCTTTGATTTTTTCTTGGGGTTTTTTTCTTCAATAATTATATATTGATTTTAGTTTCAAGGTTAAAATTGCTAATTTGACTAAGAAAAATAGCATCAGAGACCGCACACAAAACAGATTGGCTCGAATATATTTTGATGGGTCGCACAAAATGCTGACATTCAATTTGATGAGCAGCCAAAAAGAATCGCAATGCTGCTGGCCACAGTTTTGATTGAATTTCCGATGAATAATTAATGAACTGAGTCGTTCGTCTACGATAAAACATAGCAAATCAATCAATGAATCCCATATGATATATTTGTCAAATTTGGGGCAAGTTTTGGAGGCTTACGAGGACACATTAGCACACAACTGAAATGTATGAAAGTTTGAGTAAATTACTAAATTCGAGCAAAGTACTTGCTTGTGAATGGATCGATCAGAATGTCAAGGCCGTACAAGTTTCCATCCACAAATGGAATGACTCCTTAATTCAATTAGTTACTTTTGTATGTACTAGAGGCCTGTATGAACGAGCAACCGAATCGATTCGTTGTGATTCGGTCTGTTAGAATCAGCGATTCAGCTAATCGAATCACTCGCCCAAGACGCACCGAATGAAGCAGGTCTCGCCATTTTTTTTTGTGTCGAGTCCTAAAAGCTCGGTTTTATTTTCTCGCTCATTCTGCTTTTGATTTGTTGGTAGAAATTGCGAAAAAAAAACTTGCTTGCATTAGGTTTTTAGTGTTCTGATTGGAGGCGAATTCGTAATGTGCTAGCTGCGATTTTATGAATACTGTGAATTATACTCTACTTGCCCGTCGTTCGCATTATTTCATTCGAGTTTTGTCTTTAATATATGGGAATGATCATTCACTGAATGAAGTCGAATGAGAAACTGATTCACAGAACATAGAATACGAGAACGTGGATCATATAACGGATCATATCTAGAAGAGTCTAGAAGAAAAGGCTGGCATGACTAGATAAGATTATCTACACAATAATTAGTATTCTTAGCTTAGTTTTTTAATTGCAAATTGATTATTGCGCATAAGACATGATGACCCGTCCTTGCCACTCGTTTAGTGACAATCTCTGGGGGTCTTTCCCCGGAATATCTGCCACGCCTTCTACTGTTGTTTTTAATGGTTAATTTCTTTATTTGCCTGGAGCAAACATTTGCGATGATTACCCCCCAATTAAACAAACGACCCAATTGTATGCAACTCTAGAGCTAAAGAAGTAATTAGAGCTGAAGAGCTGAGGCTAAAGACACTTAAAAAAATACCACAAATGACCAAAATAAATACCGAAATGGGGCTCATAAAGAAACATCATATTTGAAGACAATGTATATTTCTATTTGCTGGCAAGCAACAGCAACTGCAACAAATTTCAAATGAAAGTGAAAATGAAATTTTACGTGACCGCGCTGCAGATTTATGGCATTTTTTTGAGAAATCTTTCTCACATTGCTTCATGTGCATAGTAGAGTACTCGCAGCAGGCATACCATGGTAATACCAAGAGTACAAGAGTACAATAAGTAAAAATAAATATCTGAGCAAACAATTAAGAAAAAAAAACAAGAGCGATTGTGATAGAGACATTGAGGGGCGTTAGCTGCATTTTAATTTCAATTTGCATTCAGGGCCAAAAGAAAGCCGAGAGAGCCGAACCGAAATGGGCTTATTAAAATATCCAATTATTGCCAAATTGAAGCTCGTTCAGGGCAAAGCAAAGGCGCCGAAAAACCAAAAAGCCGAAAAACAGAAAACCCAAAAACCAAACCGAACGAAACGAAAGTGAAATGTTTCCACTTTGCCCACGTACTCGTGTGAATTTATGCAAAAAGAAAGGGGGCTGGGTGGGGGCAGGGAGGCTATGGCTGTGTGTGAGAACCCACTTGAAGACAGCCCTTGGCTGTACTCTAACCACAGCAATGGACGCATGCACTCCCAGAGATTTTGAAGGTAAGATCCAACGATAGTTACAGTTTGAGCGAAGGATCAATCAGTACAAGTTCTTGAGATTTGTTAAAGAATATTATTAGATTCCAAAGAACGGACGTTCGCCACGATTTACTTATTCCTCATGGGTTCATGCTAAATGAAATGTTTAACAAAAAAAGGAAGGATTTATCTCTTTTGGGCCGTCGCTGTGGTCGTACCGATAGGCTTTGGTGTGACCAAAGCGGAGCGAGTGAACCAAACGAGCGAGACGAGTGAGCCAGGGGTAAGCCGATTTATATTCTATGGAAAATACTCTCCAGATGAATGTGCCCCCCTTCATTAACCTTACATATGAGAGAAACCAAACTTCGGTGTTGGCTTCGGGGAAAAAAAGCCAACAAATTCATTCCCATGCAGAAAAGATCGTCGATCGGAATCGAGAAACGCACTTTCAGTCTCCGTCTCCGTCCATGTGTCCGTTCGAAACAAAAGCTTACATAATGCATTGAGTCGCTCAGGTGACGTATTAATTGAAGATTTTTGGGTAATTTTTTGTGTATTGTTTGCGTGTTCAACAGCTTTCGTTGAGTCCATCTCCTTGAAGCTCCTTCCCTGGGTTCAGATCAAAGCCAGCGATTGGCAAAGCCCCTCCTCATTGCGCTCTCCCTTCCCTTACTTACCTTCCCTTTTTGGGTATCTAAAGCTGAAGTGACCTGCTTTCTCTTTCGTCTTCTCGCGGATCTTTTAAGAAATGTTTTGTTAAATGTTTTCATCTTATTGGACGATCCCTTCTCGACTTTTTTTGTTTCTTGGAGCACTTGCTGAGGATTCTGTAAAGGTTGCTTATTATCACGTTGGCCATGGGCCGGTGGCCTGCGGTTCACAGTTCAAAGCAGTAACGACTCGGGCTGGTGTTCATATTCACATTCATATTCATATTCATTACATTTGATGGCTTTGAACTTTCGTGGACACTGCTAATGTTGCTGTTGCTGTTGCTGCTGTTGATGTTGGACGAGCGACAAATGAGGTGAATTTAGTTGCCGCTTAATGGCAATTATTAATGTACCAGTTTACCAGTTTTACATTTGCTTATGTCTCTCTCCATCTTCACCCACTCTCTGCTGTCCACTCCATGTCTGCCTCATCTGGTGTTATGTTTGGTTATTATATTCCATATATTAAATAACTGCCACCTGAGGCGATGGCTATTGCGATGGCGCTGGTGGAGCCCGCTTTATCTGGCCACCTGCCTTGCTGCTGGGTCTGTCTCTGGCTCACACTTGGTCTCGGATTCGGATTCGCACTCTGCCTGCTCTCTGGTTGCCTGGTTTTATGCAAGTGCATTAAGCCGTTGCTTCACGTCTGAGAGATGGAAATGGCTAGTACTCGAGGCTGTTGATACCCTGCTGAAGGCTGCTGAACGGCTGCGTGGGAATGTCCTTGAACTGTGTCCAAACCCAGAGAGCGGGGGAGCTCTCCGAGAACCCTCACATATCCTGCTCAATTTATTCTCCCTCTTTCTGGAACTATTCTGTTCTTGATCTTCGTGTGTCCTTATGTCAGTCGAAAGTACTGTCGAGTACTGCTACTGCTGGCGTCTACGTAAAATATGAATTAATTGAAGTAATTGCTCACTCAGTTTTAATCTGTTCATGTTTCATAGTTTCCGTTGCTCAAAGCACATTTTTCACCCATAAATCATAAGTCAGAAAATCTCTGGACAAGCGAAACATGTGCATGTGGACAATCAGTTTCGTATGGCATTAAATCAGTGCAAATTTGACAACAAATTTTAAAAAAACTTGCTCCACCTGGCCAAGGTTCAATGCAGTCGCCAGCCATCGGGGGTATCGTGCCAGTATCGAGTAACGTGTATTGCAGATCGCAGATAGCAGATCGTACATATATCGAGTATTAAGTATTGAATATCGTGTTTCGGGTGTTGAAGCCAGGCGGTCTAGTTAATCAGCCTACCAACTTGGCCAGCTAACGGAAGCCCCCCGCTCCATGTATAGGGGGTCCGAAAACAAGTTCATAGCGCGAGCAAAAATGTTGTATTTTTGAATTGTGCAAAGTTTTCACTTTGAGTAATGTCGCTTCGACATTTACTCGCAATTTACACAAATTTGTTATGCGTAATTTTCGATTGGATAGGTTTTTTATTTGAGCATTTGAGTTGGGGTCTGTTGGCGTGATCAATGGATTCCCACTCAAGCCAGAACCAGTGGAATCAGAGCCGCGATGAGACGAGGTAGGGGCGGTGGCGGAGTCCCCCAAAAGAAAGAGCTCTCTGTTCCTCGCCTCAAGTGGGACCCGATTCCACACTCGTTATTGGCCCGTTAATCAGTTTGGCAAAGTTCGGCAAAGAAACTGGCTTGGCTTCAATTAACAAGTATTTCGCTTTGTCCAAATTGCTGGCTGGCATTTAGCAAGCTGTTTGTAAAAACGATTCTATCTGCTTGTACAAGTATCTGTATGTATGTATGTATCTCGACTGATGTGGATAGCACCTGCCAGTCAATGGGAAAACATGAAAGATGATAAAGATTTAAGGCGCATTAAAACTAATCAGACAAGAATACATATGTGTGTTCTGGGGATTCCCCATTCATTGATTCCCCTTTCTCGCGTCCTCTCTCGTTCCTTTCTCGGCGCTCTCTCGTTCGTTTCTCTTTCCTCTATCGTTTCTCTCTCCTTCATCTCTCGTTCCTCTGTCGTTCCCCTCTCATGTTCCCTTCTCGTTCCTCTCTAGTTCTCCTCTAGTTTCCCTCTAGTTTCCTTCTTGCTCTTTTCTCGCTCCCATCACGTTTCTCTCTCGTTCCTCTTGTCTAATTGAGCACACACTGCAATATCACGTTATTTACTCTTAAATCTGTCGATCGCTTCCCAGCTCATCAGCCTGCTAGCTCTTCAAACGAAGACGATAACACTCTTAATTAAAGAATAAAAAGGTTTTCCAACTAAAGCATTGTTTTCGATTATTTTCTTGCAGAATTTCATGGAAAAGGATGTGGGAAAAGTAGTTCTCTACACAACCAGTATGGGCATCATACGGGATACCTATGCCAAGTGCGCCAACGTCAAACAGATTCTGCGCACTCTGCTGATCAAGTTCGAGGAGCGCGATGTCTTCATGAGCGTCGAGTACCAGCAGGAGATGAAGGAGCGTATGCACAACAAGACCATCCGAGTTCCCCAGCTATTTGTCGAGGGACAGCACGTTGGAGTGAGTGATGCACAAATTTGAATCCTTAAACAATTCAAATCTTTCCAAATACTTATGTATCTTTCTTTCAGGACGCCGATACCGTGGAGCGTCTGAACGAAAGTGGGGAGCTGCGTCAGCTGCTAAGGCCCTACAAGGTGCGTGTTTGACCTTCGGGCTTGACTTCTTTTTACTTACAAGTTTGTACATTTTCAGTCCATTGCGACGGCTTATACGTGTCAGACCTGCGGAGGATATCGGCTGCTGCCCTGCCCCTCGTGCAGTGGATCAAAGAAGTCGGTGCATCGAAACCATTTCACCGCAGAGTTCGTGGCCCTGAAGTGCATGAACTGCGATGAGGTGGGCCTGGTCAAGTGCCCCAACTGCTGAGAGTCAAACCATAACCCCCTTTCCCCCCCTTTTCACCCGAGCAGAATCAATATTTGTATCTCTAGTGTAATGAAGTGTCTTTTTTTTTGTATCTATGTATATCGGAATGATTTTTTTGTGCGCATTTTGTTTGTCGCTTATTATTAACAGTTGTGATATTTGAGATCAGTTTGAGCAGAAACTGAAAACTGAGTAGCGGAAGAACGGAACGGAACAGATCGGAACGGAACGGAACGGAACGGAACGGAGAGGAACCCAAACGAAAACAAAATCTATCCATATGTGAATCAAAGAGATATCGAATAAAACCATAACTCAAAACCGATTATTTCTCCTTCTTTATTCTGCTTTTTGCCAATGATAATTTGTTTCAGCTGAAACAGCGTTTGGAAACAACCAGTATTTCAAAGATATGCAAATCCAAACCTTCGGAAGGCTATATCTCAGACAAATAGGGCCAGATCGGTGAAGGACCAACTGTCCCAGGATCGCGAGGATCCAGACTGTCGAACGGCATCAAAATCTCGACTTCGAAAATGAGGCCGATTTTTGGCAATTTTAATGATGTAACCATCATGATTTTTTGCGAAAATCGTGAAAAAAGTGATGTCCCTTTTTCTGATGGCAGTCGATTGGCAGGACTCTCGCGATCACGAAAAGACATGCCTCGCCCGGATCGGCCACTGCTTATCCGAGATATAGCTTACAGAAAAAACCAGTATTTCAAAGATATGCAAATCTACATCTTCAGAAGGCTTTTTCTCAGACAAATAGGGCCAGATCGGTGAAGGACCAACTGTCCCAGGATCGCGAGGATCCAGACTGTCGAACGGCATCAAAATCTCGACTTCGAAAATGAGGCCGATTTTTGGCAATTTTAATGATGTAACCATCATGATTTTTTGCGAAAATCGTGAGAACAGTGATGTCCTCTTTTCTGATGGCAGTCGGTTTGCAGGACTCTCGCGATCACGAAAAGACATGCCTCGCCCGGATCGGCCACTCCTTATCCGAGATATAGCTTACAGAAAAAACCAGTATTTCAAAGATATGCAAATCTAAATCTTCAGAAGGCTATATTTTAGACAAATAGGGCCAGATCGACGAAGGACAAACTGTCCCAGGATCGCGAGGATCCAGACTGTCGACCGGCATCAAAATCTCGACTTCGAAAATGAGGCCGATTTTTGGCAAATTCAATGATAACCATCATGATTTTTTGCGAAAGTCGTGAGAACAGTGATGTCCTCTTTTCTGATGGCAGTCGGTTTGCAGGACTCTCGCGATCACGAAAAGACATGCCTCGCCCGGATCGGCCACTCCTTATCCGAGATATAGCTTACAGAAAAAACCAGTATTTCAAAGATATGCAAATCTACATCTTCAGAAGGCTATATTTTAGACAAATAGGGCCAGATCGGTGAAGGACCAACTGTCCCAGGATCGCGAGGATACAGACTGTCGAACGGCATCAAAATCTCAACTTCGAAAATGAGGCCGATTTTTGGCAAATTCAATGATGTACGCCACAGCCGAAGGATCCAGGTTTCTGTGTTCGATGTGAGACGTGTTCGCTGTATGAGCTGGCACATCTATTCACTTAATGGTTAGTGGTTAAACGACGGAAAATAATACTTATAATAAATTAAAAATTACTCATGTAGGTCCATGTTATCCTTCATCTGTATTCATCTTATTTCTTCTTCTTAAGTTTTTATTTATTCCTTTAATTTATTTAACTCTTCCTTCCGTTTTAGCAGGTCGCCCCCCTTCTGGTCTTCCGGTTCATATGCGCGAGCTTGAGCTCGATGACGGAAGTCCACTCCAGGTGCCTGACCGGGTGACATCGCGGAATGTAGAATCGTATCCTTGCAGTATAGAAGCGCACACCTTGCAAGATTCGAACCTTAAAGGCCGTCGATAACAAGGACTTTGACTATGGCAACCTAGAGAGAAGCTACGCTGGCTACTGGACTGTAGATAGATATCGTTGTTTAAGGATATACGAGTCTATTTATTAAGATAGTAGATAGAAATGTCTCCTTGTTTATTTATTTATTCTAAGCTAAGTTTTGATAAATAAAACTATTCAAAAATCATCCTTGCTGTGTCCTGTATGGGGGAAACAATCCAGATTACAAAAAGGTGTCCTTACCGAAGGACCAAGAAGCTTTTCTGATCACAGCAGGCCATGGCATCGGGCCACAAATACGGGAGAAAACAAGATACATATGCCTGGAGGAAATGTCCTTGATCCTTGGTGCTTAATAAGGAATGCATAAGATCAAGGATGCTTTTCCGAACATAGGAAGCCGTCGCAGTTCCCAATCGGGCCACAAATAACGGAGAAAACAACAAACGTTTTTGTTGTCAATTTTTGTACAAACATTTTCTGTTGTTGTACAACAACAATTCTCAATCTGCGGCCGCTCAAACGGCAAAAATCGAGACTTTTGAAACTGGGATACCAGGCGAACAGAAATCAGCAGTAGGTCGCTAGTTTTTTGTAAATTATATTTTTCCGTTTTGCCCCCAAAAGTATGCAATGGTTTCTCATATTTTCTTTGGCCGCTGAAATGGCTAAAAACGAAAACTATTATTTATGATTTGCATTGTTTTTCCTTAAAATATAACTAAAAAAATTAAAAAAAAAAACAGCGACCTTCTTCTGTTTTCTGATCGCCTGGTATCCCAGTTTCGAAATTCTCTTTTTTCCCCATTTGAGCGTTTGCAGATTGAGGGTTGTTGTTGTTGTTGTTGTTTTCTCCGTTATTTGTGGCCCGACATAGCCGGTGCGACGGTTTCCTGTGTTCGTAATAGCTTCCTTGATCCAATGCATTCCTTATCAAATACCAAGGATCAAGGATATTTTCCCCAGACCTATATACATATGTATCTTGTGTGTCCCGTACTGTGTCCCACCCCCCCCCCCCCCTCCCACGTTCTCAAAAATGTCCTTGATCCTTTGGTAAGGACTCTAACAAACACAACCACACATATTTTGTTTTCTCGACCCAATCGGGACGAGCGATGGCTTCCTGTGATTGTAAAAATGTCCCTGATTTGATGGAGTTCTTATCAAGGACCAAGGATCAAGGATATTTTCTCAAGACATACATTCATATAGCTTGTTTTCTCTCTTACCTGTAGCCCGATCGGGGCGAGCCATGGCCCTCCGTGATCAGAAAAATATTCTTGATCCTTTGTTAAGGACTCCAATAAACACAACCATACATATTTAGTTTTTCGGCTATTTGTGGGCCAATTTGGGCGCCCGATGCCTTCCTTTACCGAAAAAATGTCCCTGATTTGATGGAGTCCTTGTCAAGGATCAAGGACATTTTTCCCAATCAAAAATATGCAGTTTTCTCCGCTATTTGTGAACCGATCTGAGCGTGGTACGCCTTTTTGTAATCGGGATCGTTTCCCCCATACAGGATACAGAAAGAATGATTGTTCAATATTTTTATTCATCAAAACTTAGCTTAGTATAAATAAACAAGTGGCAAACATTTGCATCTACTATCTAAATGAACAAAGATATCTATCTAGAATCTAGTAGCCCTAGTGGCCCCTCTCTTGGTCGCCATAGTCCATGATCTCGAAGGCCAGGTCGAAGGATGACGATAGCTTGCTAGGTTCTGATCATTCAAGGGGTGCGCTTATGTCCTGCTGGGATACGATTCTGTCATCGTGGCCCCTTGCGCAAAAGTTGGCGGGTAGTTGGCGATGTCAGCCGGTCAGGCGCCGTCATTGAACGCACACTCGCTCATATGAACCGGTTGGCCAGAAGGGGAGAGCTCCTGGTAAACGATGGTCGGCATTTCGGTCTCAGTGGGCACTCTGATCACTCACTTGAACACCGCAAGGGGCAACCTGCTAAAATGAAAGGAAGAGTTTAATAAAGTAAATGAGTAAATAATAACTTAATAAATTTATCTGGCGTGGTAAGAGAAGAGAATCGATCCATAGCAGTTTGTGGCCAGAGAGGGTCTCGGTCAATAGAGCTGGAGGTAATAAAAAAAGAAGAACCAAGAAAAGATAATAAATGAATAACATGAATATAGGAGGAGAAAAAAAGGAAAACTTACCCGGTCAAAGGCAATGGGGTAAGGCATGGTGCGGGATTGAAGACGATGTCGGTAATCTATGCACCTGCTGGCGCAATGCATGTGAACGTGGATGCAGTATCGATCCGGCAACACCCAAACGGAAATTTAGGACTTCTCGGACTATAATCCCTTGAACACATTGTGTCCAATGATAACTCTGCTGCTGGCTTCGGAATCCTTGATGGTCCAGTCCGTTCACGTCGTTTCAAACAAAAGGATAGGCAAGGGAATTCGCGTACATTTACTCTAATTTGCAAAGAACCCACAATTTATGATAACATTTGAAGAATGAACTTAGCGGAAACCAATGCTTGGAACATACTAAGAGTATCTTAAAAAATATATATGATATATTATCGAAAACTAAAGTGTATGCTAAACATATTGTATATTATGTGAATTATTCACGACTAGTCCAGCATCGTCCAACAATAATGCTCCAGTCCTTCCAGCGTTTTCCACCATACTGCACCAAACTGAAACTGAGAGACCTGCAACAAATTGCTGCTCATTCAGAAGCATCACAGCAATGACTCCCATGATATGAATCGAGAGTCCTCTTTGAATTGTTCTGTTTCACAGATCTACCCACTCTTAGGAAGTCGAGTAGAGTCATCGTCAGAAGGAGGCGTCGATTCTGTACTTGTATCTTAACAACAGCTGCTGCTGATGCCCTGCCATCCATGAGGCTGCCCAAGGACGTCTCCACACTCAAAAGGAGCTCGGAAATGAGATTCCTCGAATGGAGACATCCGAATATGGAATAGTGGCAAGTTATATCCTAAAATGTGACTCATAGGTAAACCGGATGAAGTACTCTGTGGCCTCTGCAGGACCTGTGAAAGATTGAACGGATGAGTGCAGAGTGCATCATAAAGTGGCATTTCCTTCACTTACCTTCAATACGCCCCCAACGACGGGCTCTCGAACACCATCCTGGGGCTGCTTCCGATGGACATACATATCCAGATGACATCATAGGCACGGATGATGCGTTACTTCATGGCCCGACTCTCCGGCTATGATCCCGACGATGCAGGGTTTGAACGCCAAGAAGATATGGAAGATCTCTTGCCAGCAGTCAAGAGCAAGCTGTTTCTGGAGCACGTGTTGGAGAGCATCTTTGGCATCCCGCCCCATGCAAACATTCCGAGTTCCTTTTTCGAACTGGAAAGCTTCAGCTACGACCATTTCCGTGTGGCATTCAGTACATTCTTTGGAGCTGATCAGCAAGGCCGTCATCTTTATCACTGAGCATCGGGGCCTGGTGGCCTCGCTGTGATGAAGTTTGTGATGGAAATGGTCTTATATTTCGTCGTGTCCATTGTCAGTTCTCTGGCCCAAACGACCAGAAACAGTTGCACAGGACTCCGTCACTACGAGTCCGGTATCGACTTCGGCTTAGACTCCAGTCAAGGCAGTACCAGTGCCTGCGACCACGCCTAAGCCCACATCGAAGAAGCCTCCAGTGCAGCAGGCCCTTTGCCACCAGGAGGGCCCAACACAAAGTCCCAAACCCAATCACAAATATTGTATTTTTTAACCCGTTTCCTATCGAAAAATTTTGTTTGTTGTTTTAGCTGAACTTAGAATAATGATGTGTGTAGTTTTGACATTGAAATGAATGTGAAATAAACTGATTTTGACTCAGAAATAGAACTGTTACTTGGGCATACGGCAAACACAATGTTTACCGTATTCCAAAATCTGAAATCGGATGAACAAACGAGATATATATGCAGAGATCTCAAAAATTCCTTTGACAATCATAGCTATATTTTGCATGTCAGAAATATCTTCAGATTCGCTTAACCACAAAGGGGTCGAACACAAAATTCCTAAGCTTCGTAAACTCGTTCGTATAACATACATGCCCCATCGAATACCCACAGTCCAATATCCACTTGTAATACATTCACAAAGAACGCATTTTGTAGCCTTTGTATAAGCTTAAAAGCCATGACTGACTTCAACATACATTTTTTTATTCTTAGACCCTATCAAGTTGCCTGAGAAAATATACTCAATTATAGTTTTCGGCTGGCTGCAAATTCCGTAGGAAGAGTTATAGGAAGTCAAGCTTCAGGTACAATGGGCAAGAATCGGGCAACGATGCGCCGGTGGACTGGAAAGTCTCCTCAGATCGATGAAAAGGCACCTAAGCCTGATCCAATCTGGACCGTGGGTCGCGTGTCATTCTGGATCATTGTCTGCATCCTCGTATCACTTTTGTACTATGAGTTCTATGTCCTCCTCCATGCGGACTCTGACGACTGCAACTTGTACGATTTGCAGTGTGACTAACAGGACCTCGAGACGTGCCACCTGCAAAAGACAGCGTTGGTTATACTTTATGGAGTGCTATACTATATCGATATACTACTATATCAGGACAAAAATAATTGTATTAAATTAAGCATTTTTTAATCGTTTACGCATATGTATGTTCATATAGTGCTGAAGAGACGACTCGAGTGGTCACTCAACAAACGTCAGCCTTCCATTTTTATAACAGCAGCAAACTCAAAATTTAAAAAACGCGCAAGGCATGCGCTGCATGGCAGAAGCTCGCTGATGGGACACTGCCGAGTGGAGGCTTTTAAGCTCGAACTTGTAAGCCACTGCCGAGCATAGCTTTCTGCAATCTTAGCCGATTGATTTCTAAACGTTACTGCTTATATTCAAAGTAATATATATGCTAATACGCATATTTGGAATACACTTGGCGATGAGTTGGTTGTTAGTAAGATATCAAGATAGATGCGAAGACGTTGCGGGGCCGCCATGGCGGCAGCACGAAAACGTAGGGTCTACTTTCAGGCACCGCGAAAAGCTTTTGCCACTAGCTCCGACTAAGGCGTACGGAAACTTTTCATGTCATCGTTTTAGAGATCGGAGGACAGTCACGCACCCTTCTTCCCCTCTTCCAATAGCCCCAAAGATTCGTGATATCGGGTCTCTTTAATTTCATGGCTCTTGTTCTTATAGAAGTGTTGCACAAGACCCTTAAGTCACATAAGAGCATACATAAATAATTAAGTGAAGAATAAGGAACGATTTACTGCGATGAATACAAATTTAGATACCCCAGCCCCCCGCCTCCCCCCCCCCCCCTCCCATTATATGAAAATGTTTCTACTTTCGCTTCGCTTCTAAATCTGACGGAGTAATGGCCATGATGAACTCCACGAGCCTTGAAAAACTAGGCGATAGTACTCCACGTTCGATTCGGAGTCGCTGTCAATCGAATGATCTGAACCATCGTCTACATCGGAGTCGTCAGTTTCATATGAATCGGTGCTAAAATCGTACTCAACGCCGGCATCATGGCGAAGTTGTCCGGCTCCAGGCTGTGCCGCCGTTCCATCGGGCTGGTTGCCCCCGTAGAGGCGAAGATTCTCTTCGGTGTAGTCGTATATGATACGACGGCGACGGCGCAAGTAGAGTTTCTGTCGGAGATAGATGTTGAGGAGGCCTTTGACCGCAATGTAGGTGGCACCGCCGAGCAGGTTGCGGTGCAGGGAGTCGTCCACACTCCTGAAGAAGATGCCTCCGACGATGGTGGCGAAGGTGGGCAGCACAAGAGCGCCGGCGCAGACCCTCGCAATGTACAGGGGCTCCATGTTGAATGGGACGGCCGAAGAATTGTCCGCAACGGCCAGTTCGTCCTCGGACTCGGGAATGCTGCCGTAGCACCAGCTCAGGAGCGGCAGCTTGCGAAATATGTTGCGGCGCCTGCGTATGAAGTTCAGCGTGGCGTCCTCCCAGCGTATGAGTCGCGAGACGACCAGGGCCATGGGAATCAGGGGCAGACCGGTGGCTAGAGCGAGCGTGTTCGCGTTCTCGATGAGCACGAACCCGCGCTGATTGCCCATGACCTGGACCACAGTGATGGCGCCAAATGTGATGGCCGACCAGTAGATGGAGCCGAAGAAAATGGTCGCCACCAAATAGGGACTGGTGCGGCGGACCATGCGCTCGGCGAAGTCGAGGACCGAGGCCAGGCGGGCCATCGGTGGGAAGATTATCAGGTACTCCGTCAGACACTGCTGGCAGACGACAATGCGCCGGATGTTGCCCTTCTGCTTCTCGTCGATCCAGCGGTAGAGGCAGCTCTGGTGCACCCACTTTGTAGTGCCGCGGCACTGGCACGGCTGCACCCACAGGGCGCGGCGGTTTTCTCCCTCGCTGGCAAAGCATATCCAGCACGTGCGATCTTCGTCCTGGTTCTCGGGCCCCTCCGAATGGTGCTGCGAAAGTTGCCCCGAATTGTCTCCGGAGCTGGGCGAAGACCCCTGCGAGGTGGCGTCGCCCTGCCCGTCGCCAGCGGACATCATCTCAGCTGGAAAGTCCTCCATTACACCACAACTAAGTACCAAAGCCTGCAAATTCGAAACAGAGCCGCTGAAAGCAAACAAAAAAAAAAGAGTTAATCGAGTATTTCTGATTCCTGGGTCTAGGACTCTCGAATATATTGACCGTATACGGCAGAGTACGTGTATGGCAGTGATAGATCGACCAGAATGAATACACAACCGAGTACTAACCTCCGACGTAGAGATTTATTTTAATCCGTTCAAGGCAACACTCTGCTCAATATTATTTCTATGTATATCGGTGTGAATTTCCAAACGAATTGTTTTTCCAAAATTTATAGCACGACGAACTCCACGACGGCAAATCGATAAATGAAAGCCCAAGCTAGAGCTGGCGCTTACTCGAATACATGGCGTTTATCGTAACGCCTGCTTGATTGGATTTCGTTTTCTTATCGACTGGCTAGCGACCTATTAGTAAGACCTTTTATGTTCAAATAAAATAGCTTGCACCGGACTATCGCCACGACAAACTCTCTTTCTCTCCACCAAACTTAAGCAATGAACTTTCCATAAATCACAAAGATTTTATGTCAATATTTGCAACAATTGATAATGAATGGGTTTTGATAGAGCCACTAATAGCTGTATTGAAAATTAATGATGTACAAGTACAACTGCCAATAAGTGGCAAGCCTCTTTGGGAATAGCATACGTAGAGTAGAGTCCCTTCTTATCCAATGCCAGCAGGCCTTGACTTTGCCTTCGACAAATTCTTTTCATTCTGGCAGCAAAGCCACAGGAGTCAGGCATAGCAGCACAGCTCGTTCAACGTTTCGGTCGACAGATTCTCCAGTAAAACTGAGGTGTCATAAAATCAAATTTTTTCGATTCAACATTTATATTTTCCTACGGTCCTTGCTTTTGGGGTTCGTTGAGCACGAGCAGGCCAAAGAGATACAACAATTTAGCAAGCAGCAAGCAGCAAGCAGATAGCAGAAAGGTAAGCCCCCATCATCTGCTTAAACAAAGAGCTGAGATTGCAATTCACAAGATCAGGACAGAAGTTGGGCACAGCAGCGGATCAAGCCGCCCCTGAGAGAGCCAATCGGCAGAGCAGTTGGGTAAGCCATCAGCCACCCAATCATCTAGCGATCCCGAAGGCTAAGTCGATTTCCCAAATAGCAAATCATCGATTGAATAACCAAACGCGGGCAAAGATGTCGGACAACAGCGCTGTGACTGGTGTGATGAACCTCCTGCTGTGCGGCGCCACTGGATTTGGATTCTACCAGATCGGGCCCCAGGAGCATCCGTACGCGTTCACGGCCTGTGTGGTCGGCTTTTGCCATGGACTGCTGGGCCTGGTGGCCACCGTGTCAGGCGATGAGAACACCACCAAGGCCAACGACGCCACCAACGCCCTCATGGAGATCGTGCCGCTGCCGCTGCTCAATGTGGATCTGTTCATGGGGGCCGACAGCAACAACCTTGCCCTGGGCCACGGCCTGTTCATCGTCCCGTTGGCGGTCAGCGTGATCATAGGCTGGGCCAAGGACAGCGAAGAAAACGGAAGCGTCATCGACACTCTCAAGACCCTGACCATACTGGGTAATATTACGTCGATGGTCTACTTGGCGCTCAACGAGAGCAGCTGGAATCTGGGCGGCATGGCCTTCCTGGCCTTCATGGCCAAGTTCGGCGCCGCCTTCTTCGAGGAGAATGTCTCCGAGGGAACCGGCCAGCCCATCACCTACATCAGCTGGTCGGGCTTCTTCTTCCTTACCGCCCTGGCCGTCGCCGGCGAAAAGTAAACTCCCAGAAACACCAAACAATTAATCAGATATTCCGCACTCAACCATCCCTCGATTTCCAAGTGCGCTTCACGTAGCGACTCGACGATTATTTATTTATTTTCCTTCGGACCCTTAGTCAAATTTTTTGAGTAATTAGCTGCAATATTAAAGAACGAAATTAACCACAACCTTGTCATTAAGCCATTGAAAATGTATAAGGATATTTCCGGGCTATGCAAAATGGCGTAGTTTGGCCCAAAGCTTACCCCATTCTGCGATGGTGTGTTGAGGGTGTTGAGCACGTCCAATAGGTTTCAACGGAGTCCCAGCTCCACAAAAATTCCTCACAATAATACTACCTTGTTGCTGCTTTATAGAATGGGCTTAACATAGTGTTTTAGTGGCTGTTAAACTCACATTTTGTGTTCCACAAGGACTGCAAGGAGGGAGCACGTGCAACTATGAACAAGTCTTTTTGATCTGGCAGATATCCCTACTGAGATTCCACACTTTGGTTTATTCGAGTCGATATTTTCAGGCTCTTCCTTCAGTGATTGGAGGTCAGTCTTTCAAGTCATTCTCTTCAAGAAATGATATGCAATGATATTAGTTAAGTGAATGATAAACAAAGGAAATTAGCTAGTTCGTATCTTTCCAGAAACTGTAGATACTTCAACGAATAAAAGGATACTTTAAGAGATACAAAACAGAAGAGTTTAAATGTGGGAAAAGCTGAAGGCACGGGTATACGAATTCTATAAGTAGGTATATCAAAACTTGATCGATGTAATGTAAGCATTCAAGAGCGAACTGCTCCAGCATCAGCTCTGTTCGAAAACCCGGTGTCGGGTTCCTGGCTATATTTATGATCAGATCGGGGTTAAGCGTTATCGGTTTCATCCTATGAGGAAGCGGAAGGGAGCCTGAGAATTACTTATGAAAAACACACACATTTGACAGCTTTTTCAGTCTGAGCTTATAGTCCCATAGACGCTGAAAGTTGCAGACAATATACCAGAAAATAATAATAATTACTGCCGAAACTTTCCATAGATCTGTGAAGACCCAAAAGTTTCCAACGGTTGACAATATAGCTGTTGTTAGTGGTATCTTCATTGGTTCCCCATACCGTCGATTGTGGCAGGCATTAAATAGCCGAAATCCAATTTGCCACGCCCTCGTCTTTTGTCCAAAGTCACCACGAACCGTTGCCCCCAACTCCAGCCCCATCCTCAAACCCTATCCCCATTCCATGGCAGGCATCAGCATCGGCATCCGCCAGCCGTTGACAATAAGAACTCATAAATTGTAAGCCCTAATGTCAACAAATCGTAGGTAAGTATGGGCACGCACGGCCTAAGCTCGGTTACCGCTACCAGAGGAGCCACTAGAGGTACCTCCCCGTTGTCTTAAGCGTGCCCAGCCCCAGCCCCAGGCCCAGCCCCAGCCCCACAGATCCACCTATTGCCCACCCAATGCTGTGGCGTTCAAGCGTGCTCAATGAGCATGACAACCAAAAAACAGTTGTACATTTTTGTGCCCTGTCTTGTGTCTTGTGTCTTGTTCATTGTTATTTTTATGACTTAGTGGGGTGGAGTGGTGTGGGGTCTTTGGTTGAGGTTAGAGCCGAAGATACGTGCTAATTTCTTGACAGACTGACGACTGACGAAACTGAAACTGAAATTGAGACTGCCTGTGGATGTGGAAGTGAAGCAGAGAACTGGTTGTTACAGAAATATTTGTGTTATCGCTGGTAATTGGCTGGCATTGTCTGTGTCTGAGATCTTTTTGGTTATTGTTTTATTTCAGTTTTTTTGGGTCCGTGCCTAGGCCTAAGTCTTGGCATTGAAAGCGCATTACAGATCAGGGAGCTGCCACTTGGGCTCTGGGACTCTGAAAGCTGAATGTTTGGTTAAGTTTTTGGTCAACTAACGAGCTCATGAATGGGATGGAATGAATCCCTTGACGGGTACTGAAACCAAGTGCAATCGTAGGGAAGAACAACTTGTCAGGTCTAAGGATATCTGACTAAAGTAATCATTAGTTTTTTTTTACAAAAATGGGTTTAAAAGGATCTCTTCATTAGCATTGAAAAACTATATCAAGTGGCATCAGGTGTACATATACTTTACCTATGTACATATCGTATATAGAATAATACCGCAAGGGTATCAATAACCTCGATCCCCGAAGCCCCCTGACCCGCTCTCGTGAGTTCTGGACTATCCTCTGCTCTGCTAGGAGTTGATTGGTTTTTGCGTGGAATTTAGATTTATTACTCTATGGCGATGATTAAGGGAATTTGTATACAGCAGCAAAAGCAAAAGCAACACCAACACCCACTGTACCCCACACGCTTGCTCTGTGCTTCTGCCCCAAGTGGCACTTGAGAGTTGATGGCTGGTGGCGGGGTTCTTCAGCGTTTGCCGCATCCAGCTGCTTCAAATGGACAACAATACAGAATCTAGACAAGCTCCATGGAGCTGCCTTTGTACTTTGTCCGGGAACCGCTCTGACCATTTCCCATGACCCGCATGGACACCATCAGACATCGCCATCGCCATCGCCATCCCCATCGACATCTACATCCAGATCGGTTATGTTAATCTAACTCTGGCCAAACATCGAATTTTGACTCTTGTTCTGGCTATTGCTATTGTCCAAACAGACGACGAACGCCATTGTATGGAAGAGATGATTAATCGCTTTTTGGCACGAAATTGCTTCGAGTGGACCGCCATTTGGGGCTTATCTATCGACCAGAGCTCTTGATCCAGAGCTCTCTCTCTCTCTCTCTGCTCTCTCTCTCTGCTCTCTCTCCACGCACTTTGATATACGGCTCTCTCACGCCTGGGTGTATTTATACCACTTCCCCGGAGATCATATCAATGTCCAGACCATTTCGAAATGTGTCCACCCTTGGCTGCTTCTTCCGCTCTCCACGACCACGAAATCGGGCTCGGACTGACCTTATCTCACCTGACGCAGGTCTCCACTATTCCAGGTCCCTTACCCCTTACCCCTTACCACTTACCCCTTACCTCTGCTCTATGCTCTACTCTTCTCCTCTGTGGGCTGTCAACGCATTCTTCAATTCAATAAGCAATGATTGAATGGGTGTAGACTCGGCAGGAGAGCCAAACATTGTCTCTATCGCCACACCTCACTCTCTCTCTCTTTCTCTATCTCTATCTATGAGCCCTCTATCAGACTTCTCCCCCTACCTTAGACCTTATCACTTGTGCCCTAGTTGGTGAAAAGCTTAGTCTGTCGCGTGGCAGCTACCATTCCATTCCACTCCACTAGATGATTACTAACAATCGAAGCACACGATCCGCGACCCTACTAATACTCATGACTTATGTACGACACAATGGGGCTGATGGGGGGAAGCATAGGAGTAGATAGAGGTTTGCTCAGTGTTTATTTCCCTTTCCAGATGTTTTCATACCGAACCGACCACTGTCTCCCTCTCTATAGTTCTCAGTCTTCACATCAACGACGTACCATCCAGCCGTTACTCCGCGCACTGGACCACGAAATAGTATTCTTTATTGCAGTTGTACTAATGATCCGATCTTAAGATAGTTCTGAACTCAATTTCTATGATTCTGGAATACACTAAAGACCAAACTAAACTTTTGTATAGGCACATAAGGAACATACTATAGGCACTGTCTTTCTTGGTGGATCGCCACACAAGGCTATATCTTTAAGATCGTGAATTGTGGTCGGTAAGGTGAATCAATTACATCACAGCACTGGACGGGGGCGAGCGCCAGGGCCAGGGCCAGGGCGGTACTGGTCCGATGTTGTCCAGTGCTTTGCTTCGGGAAGTTACTTAATAATGCACATCACTCCGATGGCATAGGCATAGGCAGTGCCAGAGGCAATTAAATATTTAATTTGTGCCATCGATTTGGCCGCGTTTTTCAACATCGATCGATAGTTTTGGTTTTTATAGTTTGGAATTCTTATCTGGGCTCTTGTTTTTGTTTTTGTTTCTGTTTCTGTTTCTGCATGCATATTTCATAGGCCGCCGTGGGGGGAATTGGCCAGGCACAAAGTATTAGCATTAGCATTCAGCAGAGGTATTCAGGTTTTTTTTCCCTCCCCTCCCCTCGCCCCGTCACAAAAGAGAAGAATGTCGGATTCCCCCCGCTCCTTCCACAACAAGCTTTTGGTATGCGACTGTTGGAACTTTTGGAATTAGAATGTAAAGTGAAAGGAGTTCTACAGGTTAATGCCATGCCAAAAGTCTCTGTCTCTGGCTCTGACTCTGGCTCTGACTCTGGCTCTGGCTCTGTCTCTGGCTCAGTCTCTGGCTCAGTCTTTGGCTCAGTCTTTGGCTCTGTCATCTTCCATCTTCCAGCTCCGTCTTCCTCTCTCCGGCTTCATTCTTTGTCCGTCGCACAGTCCCACCGTCTCTCATTCTTTCTCGGCTCCATACGACGCTTTAATGAATGAGGAATGACTGCATGAAAATTGGCCCGGCACGATACGGCTCCAGCTGGAGATAGCTGCCGAGGAAAGACACAGAGAGAGAGAGAGAGATGCAGAAAAGTGTACCAGTACGAGTACGTGTACGAGTACCTTTGGCACTGACTGTGTAAATACGGCACATAAATTAACGCGGCCCGGCTAAAAGTCGAAGAAAGCCTCAAATGCTCTCAAGTGGGTGCCAAGTCCCACTCGGAACCGGATGGGAGCCCACCAGCACTACATTTGTCTGGGACGGGGTGGGAAGGGTGGAAGGGGAGCAGGAAATGGAGAGCGGTGAATATGGGGATGCCCATACACAGGCACATATGTATGTAGATGGTGTAGGGATCCGATCTTAGTGGCAATCAATATCGATAAGCACTAAATACTCATTTAAAGTTAAGAGATGGCCCTCCCACACCCTGAGAGCCAGCCCTCCCCATCCGATACTGGAATAAATTCCACAATAATCACCACCCCAAAGCACCCTGCCCCCCCCCTGAAGGAGCGTCTCAGAGCAATTTGGATGGATGCCTGGCACAGGCGTCAGAGGAGGCGACAGATCGCATAGCTAAGCCATGGAACCACAGAGGCGATGAATTGCGGAAGCAGATTATTAACACCGAAATAGTTTTCTGTGTAGGATTAGTGGGAAATATTTTTAGGTGGACGCGCAGACAGAACAGACAGAACAGGAAAGAGGCAG